TAAAGTGCATTAAAGGGGGCTGCTGCCATCCTGCTTCGTGTATCGTTCAAAAGTTTTGAAAGAAGTCTCTAATGCGCACCAAAGCTGCATTTATTTGCTCAAAGATACAGTAAAAACAGTAATATTGTGAAATATTCTTACACTTTAAAATAGATGTTTTCTTTTCTAATATATTTTAAAATTGAATTTATTCCCGTGTCAGCAAAGCTGAATTTATCTGAATATTTGTCACATGACCCTTTAGAAAACATTCTGATATTCTGATTTGCTGCTCAGTTTCTTATTATTATCAATGTTGAAAACAGTTGTGCTGCCTAATATTTTGTGGAAACCATGATGCTGTGCCATGATACTGATGACACTGAATGGTGATACTGATGTATTTTTCAAGATGTTTTGATGAAATGAAAGATGAAAAAAATAAACATTTATTTGAAATAAAATTACTTTGAAATTGATCACTTTTGATCAAGTTAATGCATCCTGGCTAAATAAAAGTATTAAAAAAAAATATTTCTGAATGGTAACGTGCCTGTATCGGCCACTGAAAAACTATATTGAACATAATTAGCAATATCTCATAATTAGCAAAATGGACTACTATTTCAATTTTACTAATAAAGACGAATTATTACTTTAGTAAGACTGAAATCAACTTTTAAAGTGCATTTAAACACACGTATTGTTGCAGTAGAAGTTACCTGATAAACTTTCCGTTTCATGTTGCACAATGGATGCAGCAGATCATCAAAGCGTAAAACAGAATGAATTGTTAGTCTCGAGCCTTGAACAGTAACAAACCATTTAGACAACCAGGAACAGATGCACTGTGACGTCAGTTAGCCATCACAAGAGCCAGCCAGACTCGATGACCCATCTTTCCATGAAACCGGCCACTGTCTCCTTTCATACAATTAGTGACACATGAGGCACCTTTTAGACATCCTACATCAAAATGTACATTCCTGCAACATACTAATCCTGTTAAGTCATTTCAAATATATAAGATTTAAAGAGAAAAAAAGTTACATAATAAGAACATGTTCAAGCATGTAGATTTGACATAATTTCATTGTCTGTCCAGTTCAGGACGAGCGTATGAGCGTGTCTGGCTGAGTTTCTGTGTGTTTATTCAAAAGGCGGATGGGACAAATTTGCAGACCAGCCGTAGTTGCTATAAAACGTAATTTTTTTGGCCTATGAATAGCTTAATAACACACTTTTCCCTCCCATAACCAGTGTTACATCATGTAGCGTACAGTTATTAAAGCAGAGCACTGAGTTTATGTATAATCTCACCACATGCAGTGAACGGTCACCACAGGCATATAATTAATTCTTGTAGTCCAAATAGCAGTGTGGCAGACGGTACACAAACAGGATATGGATGGGTTTTGAGTCGCTGACAGGGCCTCCGTTCAAGAAAGACTGACTTCTCAGCCTGGCATAGGGAAGAGTTTTCTCCTCTGCAAGTCTGGGTGCACTCGTTGACTTGATGCAGCTGTTGCACATCTGGGAAAGGTGGAGAGACTTCTCTCTCTCTTTCTCCAGCCCGGTTTCCACAGGAAAACTTTGGTTAAAAAAGGGGGAGGGGTTCACTTTAGTTTCCCGCACGGTCCTAATTAAAGGTTGTTCTCCTTAACCTTCGAAAATAAACTTTCAAACCCTGGGCGGCTCCTGACGGTGGTTTGTTTGAATCAAAAGTGAAGTCTTTATTCTTTTAATGGGGCTCTGTCCATGGTGAAGGAGTTTATGGGGAAGTAACACAGGCATCCTCCTCCTCTCAGGTTCCTTGTTGAGATTAAAGACACATCAAAGGCTCTGGAGGATCGGTGCACCCTGTAGGTGTAAGGGCAGGGAGTACCCTTCCATCAATTGTGGGCCTTATGTTTATTTAAGATGGTGCCGGTTGATGGCGGTCAGAGGGCTAGGCGTGTGGTACAGTTTGAGCTCTGCTTTCATGCTTTGACATAAAACCCAGCTGTGCCCCTGACTCCAGTTATTGAGACTGTCTGGATTCAAGTTATAGAGAAAGGCTAGATTACCTTTATGCTTGGCTAATTCGCAGAAACTTAAAGTACAGTTTTAGTACACGGATGGCCCCTCTAGAGCAACTTGAGGCCAATTGTGTTACTTAAAATCGTTCAAACTAGCTGAATTTTTATCACTGTAGTTAAGAGTTTATATCCCTGTGTGTTTATGTGAATTTTGGAAGATCACATAAAAATTCTCAATGGAAACACTGAGATAAAATTTCCAAAATTTGCATTAAAAATGACTTCTAATGTCAGATTGATCCTAGCATGTGAATACGTTACATCGTTGTTTTATGCTTAATAATAATGAAAATAATAATAATAATAAAAATTACATGTTGTTATTTGGCTTAGGCTCTCTCTTTATGCCTTGCAAGTGTTTTATTAGTTAATTTTTTATTTTCATTCTTTTTTTTGTAGTTATTAGGCTGTTATTTAGAGTAGTATGTTTTACTTTTACACCTGAATATATGTGTCCTTCTTGCAGTTTAAACATCTTCGTTGTTTATAATAGAAGCAATCTAGTTTTGTCACTTCATGTCGCTTACTTGTAGAACCATTGTCACACATAATGCATAAACTCTAATTGTGAGAATGATTTCAATCGTATTTGTTATTAAATAAAGTAACAAAATAAGTAATGACTTATGGTGTAAATTGTAAAAAGTACATTATTTTGCATGTTCAGTCCTAAAAGTAATCCTGAACTTTTTACTTTTCTTTTTCCTTTTTACTTCCAAACCACTCAACCACTGATTGCTTTTACAATTGATTGTAATTTTTAAACCCAGAGAGCATTTACTGTTGGATAGGGTGTATAAAACCAGAAGTGAGCTTAAATTTAATCAAAAGGACGGACCTCATCTGTTGAGCTCTTCTGTTGGTCCGGTGATTATCTTAAGTCTGCGCAGGTTTTAAAAGCCCCATGCAAACACATATGGGGCTCAGAAGCAGCAGCTCTTTCACTAATTAGACAGTCTTATTAAGTGGCCCAGTCTGAGTAACTGCTGTGAGGAGGGAAAGATGTGATCTTTTATCATTTCAGCACTTGGTTTGAGCCTTTATTCCCTCCTTATGGAAGGCTTAATCAAATGGACTGTATTCTCTAAGGTTACTTGTCCTTCTCTTGCCATACACAATGCCACAGTTAATATAAGTCATATGGTGCGTCTGCTGATGTAAATTTTCTACAGCTCTGAGAGATTACGGAAAGTAGTAAGACAAGCTGAATCAAGGTCACATACAAGTCTCATCTTCATGCCGCTGGACCCAAACAAATGAGACATTGCTGTTGCCCCGCTCACAGTGTTTGAACTGGCAGGATGGAGTATACAAACCAATGGAACAAACCTTGTTTCACATCTGAATGTATAAAAGGGTTTGGTTTGGTTTCAGGATGTTTGTCTCTTTGCCAATCTCCGCCCCTTGGGTGTAGTTTTTCAAATGCCGAATTTAAACAATTAATCTCTAGGCCCACTGTTGGGAACAAGAAGTATACAATTTCAGGATTTCCATAGCAACAGGCAGCCCTTGGTCTTTGGGCTACTAACTTGCTTTTCTTCTCTGTGGTCTATTCAATGGTTTCACTGTGAACTCTTTTGTTCGGCAATTGACACGGTCAGAGTACATAACTGCAACTGAATAAAATCCTTGTTAGTAACCAGAGGCTCTTTACATGGGCCCCAAGGGACAGTGATCTGCTTAAAATTTTTGTTTACGTATGTATTGTTGATTTGAGTTAACAATTCTCACTTGTTTGGATCTTAAAAATGCATTTAGTAATTTTTTATGGTCTTGGAGTGATACCGACAACTAGAGGCATAAATTCCTTCACATCCCTCATGCCTTGCGTGTTAGTTTAAAACGTTGTTTAGTATTCATTACATATTTAGGCTTTTTTATTTATGCTTTCTGCTAGCAATAAGTGTCTTGTATACTCTTAGTTCCTCTTTACTCCCACAGATTTCCATATTTAAATCCAATTTGCAGAATTCCTCAGACATTTTCCCCTAAAATCGGTGCAGAAAATGTGGAAAGAGTGTGCCGATTTCATCTAGGCCTGGTCATGTGACCTCAGTATGGCAGCCCCCATGAAGTGATCTTCAAGTTAAATAAAAATTTTAGGCTACTGGTATGATTTGAAATCAAAATAATTGTGGTAAATAGCCGCGGATCATAGCGCACTACAAACCTGTGAAAGCACAATGAGCCCGTTCTGCTTCTGCACTGCATACCGCACGCACACGGACTGCACTGCAAACGGATTCTCACTTAAAGGCACAATATGTAATTTTCGCCGCTAGAGGGCACGTATTCAAAATAAACAAATAGACAAAGGCGTAGTTTGATGATGCGTGGAATCATGGGACTCGGTCAGAAATCATGAGCTAGGATGGATGAGCTAATGGTTTATTACCGTAGTAGAATGAAGCAGGAACACTGTTCTAGTGGTTTTTGGATATTTTAATTAAAAAATCGTACATATTGTGCCTTTAAATTGACTCTTTTAATCAAACTTTGATGTATTATACAACATAATCACTTTCTTTCTATACTCGAGTGAGTTGTCGTGGCTCCCCTGTACATTAGAAATGGGCAGGTGTATCTAAAGTCTGTCTCTCCCAGCTGGTGTAAAGCTCAACTCTAAAAACAGGTGTTTTGGAGAATAATGATGGATTTAGTTTCAAGCAGCATGCTGTGGCTTGCTCATTACTTGCCTGAGCTGGTAATACACCTGCGTAAACAGATTGCAAAGTCAAGACCAATGCTTGTTTATCCAGACCCTTTGAGTATACTGTTAAATCTCTCTGATAAATGCCATCTGACATCCTGGATACAGTATTGGGCGATTCAACTACCTGGCATCACAGGTGCTAATACATGACCGGCCTGGTCGATAATTTATCCATTTTTAATCGTGTGTGCACCAACACAAGTAAATACAATGGAGGATTAAGCTTGCTCATGAAGGCGGTAAGAAACTTCCAGGTTAATTATTGGTGATCAGAGTAGCATGACTAAATTCACCAGGGAATGCTCAGTGTGTCCACAAGAGCATCACTAAGCACATTACAGGATTATGTGGACTTGAAAAGTGTGACCGAGAGAGATGAAGAGAGGAAACAATGAAACATTCTAAGATCCTTTGGCCAGCCTCCATGAGTTCCCATTTCATCCAGGATTATTAGCCTAGCACAAGCTCATTATTTTATAGGGGAGACTAATGATGGGATGATTTGATCTTGTCAGGGACTTCAATGTATCTAGCGTGTAAAATCAGATTGCCCAGGGAAGCCAACTGTTTTGTTTTTTCACATGCAAGCAAAAGTATATCATACATTTCAATGTCAGACCCTTCATGCTAATCTGAATCTATGGTTTCTTGTGTTTTTTCAGCAAGGGGTCATTGTGGCTGGAGGTGAGGAGTACCTTATCGAACCCTTGGTTTCTGCTAAAAACATCACTAATGAGGATGGCAGAGAAGGGCACCCCCATGTGGTGTACAAACGGTCATCTCTAAGATACCAAAACATGGACCAGTCCTGTGGAGTCATTGGTAAGAACTAAAAAGGCCATGAAGATGTTTTTTAAACATTTTAAGCATCAACTCACAAGAGAAAATTGTGTTCGCCAACCCATTTCATGGGGTCTTTCAGTATGTATGGTATCCCGTTTTAATCATAACATTAAAGTCATTATAATGGAAGTAGAAATTGATATTTTCACGCATTTTGTGACATACATCTGAGAGAAACAGATTGTTGAAAAATGATGGGCAGGAATTTGCTTCTGTCCATCGGTTGTGCATTGAATGGAGGCAGATTTGAATGACGAGCTTGTACGTAGTCGATTATAAGAAAGAGGTGGGGTTTAAGCACACTAAATGATTGGAGAAGTCTGGCATACGTCACCAGAGAGAAGTTTGCCCTTTCATCAGAAGCTCAAAGAATTCATTTAGAAAAAAAGATGAATTTACATTTCATGCTAACCAAATCTAACTTATTTGGGACACTGCCAGGTTTATAGGTAAACTTAACATAACTACCTTATTGAAAGTAATTAATCCAAAGTCAGCTCATTCACAATTTGAAGTTACGCTAGAAGGATTTTGTATTTGTAAAATAGCATTAAGTTCTGGATTGAAGGCACTTTTTTCATCACAAGATTTTAATAAAAACTGTAACTACAGAGTTTTGCTCATTGTGGCTGTTTCTCTTTAGATGAGAAGCCTGGTAAGAGCTATGGATGGTGGCAGAGAACAATAAAGCCCTCACCCAACCAGATGGGACGGGGCCAGTTACCACTGAAGCGTTCTGTCAGTCGAGAGCGCTACGTCGAAACCCTCGTGGTGGCCGACAAGATGATGGTCAGCTATCACGGCCGTCGCGATATCGAACAGTACATTCTGGCTGTCATGAATATTGTAAGCTTCAACTCTCCTTGTTCTTGTGTGCATGCTTAAAGGAATAGTTGACACAAAAATTAAAATCTTGTCACTCCTCATGTTTTTTGAAAACCCATATCACTTTCTTTTTTCCTTGGACACATGGAGTTATTTATAACAGAATGTCCAAGCTGCTCTTTTCCATACAATGAATGTGAAAGATTCATCAAGTCATGAAAATTTTCAAAAGATTTTAGATTTTGATCTGTTCCTCACAAAGCTATCATATGGGTTCTGCATTTTTTGGTGCTTATTTGGGATTTGACTGCCCCTGGTTTCTAGTTGCTGTCTTTTTATGGAAGAAAGCTGTTCGGACATTGTGCTAAACTCTTCGCCGGTTAATTGAGAGCCTTACAAAGACCTAAAATGAACAGTCTGCAATGTCCCACAGACTAAGTGAATCTTCAGAGGATGTTTGACCTATCCAGGCCATTTGTTTTGGCTCAGAGAATAATGATTAAATGAAAACCAAGTAACTGTCTTCTGTCACTCTGAGGATCCATATTTCTCTCTCCAATTTATAATCCCCATGGGCGATTTGTGGCATTGTTACAAATGGTTTCACACCTGTGGAATGTGTTTAATGAAGGGATTACCTCACCTCGCTGCCCCAGCGCAGCAGTTAGCACTGGTTTTATAGTAGACTGTAAACTGTCCATCTTTACAGTAAACAGCAGGATTAGAAAGGTCTAAAAACAGACAACTGGCTCGTTTTTAAGACTGTTTTTTTCTTGTTTCCCTGGAGGTCAGGTTGCCAAACTGTTCCAGGATTCTAGCCTGGGGAATGCAGTGAACATCGTTGTGACGAGGCTTATTCTACTGATGGAAGACCAGGTACTCTTACTGAAGCACATTTGCCTAGAGGACTGTTACATTTATTACATTTGCCTGATCACAGTATTTGTGCACTTTAAATTCCAGTCACGCATTACCATTCAAATAGGGACATTTTAAGTGAACATAGAAATGCGATAGCATGTTTCAGTTTCTGGTGCAGCAGTGTGTTATGTGAGATATAAACACCTCTGGTGTGTGCATGCATCATTTGTGAAAAGTATAAACAATGGTTTAACATGCATTGTGAATGCAATGCTCTGTCTTCACTTTATTTTAAAGTGGTGGTTGATTATTTAAATTTTAGTTAGTGTGTAATGTTGCTGTTAGAGCATAAGCAACGTCTGCAAAGTTACGATGCTCAGAGTTCAATGCAAAGGGAGATATTTTCCTTTAAAGAAATTGCTGTTTAAGGACTACAACAAAAGGCTTGTATGGACTACAACGAGCTTCTTCCTGGGCTTGTGACATCATTCACTAACCCCGCTGTTTACATAAACCCTGCCTCCGGGAACTGTTTTGACAAGAACGGAAACAGTGGTGTAGAAGGTAAAATATGTGAAAATGTTATACTGCACTCCAAAAACACAATCAAGCCTTTGAAAAAAGCTGATCAATCACCCCTTTAATATAAAATATAAAAATTATAAATATTATAATATAATATAAAAATTATAAATACATTATTTTTACATTTTGATTGAAGGATTTAGGATAGAAATATACACAATTGTTAAAAAGTTTGGGGTCAGTACGGTTTTTTTTTTTTTTTTTAATTCAGCAGTATGCTTTAAATTGAACAAAAATGACAGTAAGGATTTTAGATTGTTTGACAAGATTTCTAATTTAAATAAATACAGTTCTTTTGAACTTTCTGTTCATCAAAGAATCCTGAAATGTATTACAATTTCCACAAAAATATTAAGCTGCACAACATTAAGTAGTTTTATATTAATATGTAGTTTTATATGTAAATGTATATGTAAAACTACATATTAAAATGTAAAAAAATATATTTAAAATATTGTTATTCATGCAATTCTAGCCCTGTGCAATATTTAAAAACTTTGTAAAATCCTGAATGAAACGTACACGTTATTGTATAATTCCAAGAACATGTGCATTAAGTTTACTAGCAACATAAGCAATATTTATTGCAATTATTTATACACAAATTATTCATCAGACAAAATTTCATGATTGTGACAGCCCAACACATACACATATAAGCCTTACGACCCGTTCACACCAAGAACGATAACTATAAAGATAACTATATTAGCGTCCACACCGATTCTGCGATTCTGTCCACACCAGCGGACGATATCGTCTGTTTATTCCAAGCGCACACTCGTCTGCTGCTTTAAATTCTCGAGCTTGTTATGGCAGGATTGATTCTGATTGGCTGTTAATGTTTTTATCGTTCATCAGCTGGAAAAAATCGTTCTGAAAGTGATTTCAACTATATAATTTCTCTGTGCCTTTATCGTTATAGTTGTGGTGTGGACTCTGCTATTCTTTAATATTGAGAACGAATTTTAGAACTATATCTTTATCGTTATCTTTATAGTTATCATCCTTGGTGTGAACAGGTCTTTAGTCTGGCTTATTTCACCTGTCAAAGAATTCCTTGTTTGTGTATTTACAGGCAAAAGCGTCCTAGTCTGAGGCAGTTGAGACAGTCCGCACAAGTTTGGACTGTTTGCTACCTGGTTCTGCTGGGTGTGTCTAGAGAACCTGCCATGACTGCTCTTATTGTTGATTATGACCTCTCATTTTGCCACACTCATGAATGTACAGGGCCTTAAAAAAATGTGTAAGAAATCGAGAAAAATCTAAGGGGAAGCCAAACTGTACTGCTACTGTTCTCGCCGCCTGCTTTTAAATGCAATCAATCTGCCTCTGTCATGCATTCAGGCTTCCACCTCTGTCCTGAGCGGGGCGTGACGACACCACATGAGCGAGTTGGCTCGCTCCGCGGGATCTCTGGAATACGTCGACCTCAAACAGGCTCCTACAGACGACGCAGGGCAGGGAAAGGATAGGAGTGGGGTTTTGCGGTGTATTTAATGACGCATTAATGATCCCAAATCGCAGACAGCTAAAAATAAATCCCCTGTAATTTGTTCCGCATAATGTCATTTGACAAATGATGGGAGACCGGTCATTAGGAGCAGTATTAGCCGTGTTGAGATAACTACTGCGTGGCGTGCTGAAGTTTCGTGGAACCAAACATGGTTAATTTCCAGATGAGAACACCCCGCCACCCCCTGTGGTAGAGGAAACCTGGAAAGTTAGGATTCTGAGCACTGGATTGTGGGATGATACAATTATAGACTATGCCAATGTGTGTGCATTCCTAGGTTACGATGCTGTGGCCATCTTGGGTGATGGGTGCCAGGCAGAGTGGTATAGGGAAACACTGTACATTTGTCTTTTTGTACATTCTAGCAGTGTTTTTGTTGTGTCTGTATTATCATACAAGCCCTCATCAGCTGTAAACCCATCAATAAAGCAGAGAAATGGCTTAGAGCTGTGCATGTTTAAAGCTAAAGAAGCTATAAGTTGTACCTTAAAAAGTTAGACTTATTGCGGGTAACTTGCATCTCTAAAACAAAGCATCTCTATGGACTCCTTTTCAAAGAGCTCAAAATATTATAAAGCGGAATTTATGTTAAAATATTTTCTCCAATTGCAGTTGAAATGTGCTGTCACATTTACAGAAAGGTCCGCATGCTGGGACTCAAACTCATGGTGTCTGAATCACAACGCATATGTCGGCAAGCTGCCCAAAAGTCTATCCGCACAGACTGCCACATTTACTTTCATATGAAAAAAGTCCCCCTGGTGAATTGGATCTCTTTAGGAATCCACATGATTGGAATTTTGCATGACTTGTGAGGAGAAATTCCCATGCAAATTTCACATCAGGTTCATGTTTGTTGAACATTTAATACTAAATTTGCTGCATTTACTGTTATAAAGCTGCTTGCTTCATGTATTGCTACACTACATATGGACCGTTTTTCCTTGTGAATTTTTTGGTAGACATTTTTGCTGATTTGCTCTCACCTTAAGGTGTAGACACTATACGTGAGCCATATGCATACTGTACCAATGGCAAATGGAAGAAGTGTTTGGTGAAACCTTTTTGAAAACAATCATTACTTATGCTGTTTTTTTTTTGCACAGAATTGAAATATTTCAGCTTGAAAGAACCAGCATATTGTCAACTGTTAAAAAGAAGTCCAGTATCAGCCTAGTTGGGAAACTATTTTAGGGTCTTACTGTACTACAAATACATATGAGCATGCACATACATTTATCTCATCAAATTATACACAAAGAGTACGATGTATATGCAATAAATCTGATCCAAGTTTATCTGATCCAAATTTTTCCTTTCCTCTCTTGCCAGCCCACACTAGAGGTAAACCATCACGCAGGGAAGTCTTTAGACAGTTTCTGCAAGTGGCAAAAGTCCATCCTGCACCGGAATGGACATGGGAATGCCATCCCTGACAATGGAATCGCTCACCATGATACAGCAGTCCTCATCACCAGGTCAGCATATTTCAGTATACGCTTTTAAAAACTTTTTCAATACACACACTAACATCTGTCTAATATTTTGTAGCACTCCATTGGTTCCACAAGGCAACAGGTCATAATTTTAAAAAGGCTGTAATGTACTTGAAGTGTGTGTTTGGAAGAACAAGCGATTTATGGTAAATCATGCTATAGCTTTAATCTACACAATGAGGAGTTAGGTTGAATTCCTGTGCCTCAGAGTTGAGTGAGAGAGATAACGTGAAGTATGAGAAAGAAATAGAGAGTGAAAGAGAGAAGCAGAGAGAAAGAGAAATTGTGGGAAGTGTTGAGTCTTTATATTCGAGGCTTATATCAGAGGGTATGTCTGCTGAATGCATCAAGCATTTCCTTTCATTGTCTTCACTCTCTTATCAGGACAGTGTCCAGTCTGTGACCTGTCTCACAGTTCTAGTATCTGTGTGTGTGTGTGTGTGTGTGTTCTGTGGAAACCCAAGCAGTTTATTCACCCAAAAATAAAAAAACATCATAAATATTTCTCTGGCGTGTTTTCAGGTATGACATCTGCATCTACAAGAACAAACCCTGTGGAACACTTGGTAAGATATCCATCTATCCATTTAACCAATCCATTCAGTTGTCCAATCCATCCATCCTATCATTTCATCCATTCTACCAATCTATCCAATCTGTCCATCCTATCAATCCATCTATTCTACCAGTCTATCCAATCCATCCATCCATCCTACCAATCCATTCAATCATCCATAATTAATTGCCTTATCTGTCTGCATATATTAAGTATTTGCTTATTCATTGCTGAATTCTCATTTCTTCTCTGTTCATAACAAAGCTAATCGAAGGTTTATTGGTACTGTATTGTCTTTTAATTTTGATTAGTTTGTAGAGACTAATTAATTAATGAACTAATCAGCAGTACTGTAGTAGGATTTGCATATATTTGTATTTGCATATCCACCTTATTTTTCATTGTGGAAGTAAGCTATTTCCTGTGAATGTGTGGAACTTTCAATCGATTAGCCGCTACAGGTAAACAACTATAAGAATAAACAGTACAGTAAATTGTAAAACTATTTGTGCAATAAAATGTGTTTGTAATTGTGATAAAAATAAGATAATATGATAACAAATATACAAGTTTGCAATTTCAATCAACATAACATGTACTCTTTTTGTACAGATGAAATAACTGAAAGCGGCTGACAATGTAAGCCAAGTTAAAAAGACCCGGCCCACTCTTACGTTAAAAATAAGGTGGATAGTGTTGTAGCATATATGTGTATGTGTGTGTCCATGTCACTGTGCTCGTGTGCACACATGTGTCCGTATCAGGATTGGCACCTGTTGGCGGTTTGTGTGAGCCAGAGAGAAGCTGTAGCATCAATGAAGACATTGGTCTGGCCACTGCTTTCACCATTGCACACGAGATAGGACACACGTGAGTCTCTTCCAATTCCTCAACTTCCTTGCTTACATCTTATGTTCCTCTGTTCCTGCGTGTCTTTTGGCCTGAATTTTGATGATTGATGCTGTTTACTTTGGGTCAAGAGGGAACTGCAGGGAGTTTGTGAATTAATTAAAAGCTAATTCATTAAATGATAAACATGTAAAATGAAAATAAATACAGAAATGTAAAATAAAATGAAATGCTTACTAAAAACGATTCAAAATTTAATTTTTACCAGCATTTAATGTGACCAATAACCAAAGTCAGAGAACTGTGAACATGCAAATGTGTTGTTAAATTGTTGAAATATTAACTTAAAATCTCAGAAGGCATTAAGTATTTTAGTTCAAAGGGATTCTGCTGACAAAAAAGTTTGGGAATCCCTGATGTACCTAAACTGTGACAAAATTATGTCAGTATATAGTATATTCCAAAATGTTCATATTCCAAAACCTTTTGAAGCTCTACTATAAGCAGTGTTGGGAAGGTTACTTTGAAAATGTAATAGTTACATTTATTTTGTAATTAAATTACGTAATGCCGTTACATGTAACTAGTTACTCCCCAACACTGACTATAAGCCAGCATTACATCAGCTCTCTTAAATTCCAGTTTTGCCTACTTGAGTCATCAGGGCATACCCTCTCAACTCTGACCTTAACATTTGACCTCTACTCTGAGTGGCCTACCAAAATAAACTTGGGTTAAATTCAAGGATGATCTCTAAAGCCTCTAGAGCCTTTTAAATACAAATAATGCTCATTATCAACAACTGCACTAATATTTTCTCTCAGTCTTGCAATATTTATATCTTGCCCACTGCTCCGGGTGTGTGTTCACAGTATGTGTGTGTGTGTGTGTGTGTGTGTGTGTGTGTGTATGCACTTGGATGGGATAAATGCAGAGCACAAATTCCGAGTATGGGAAACCATACTTGGCTACACGTCACTTTCACTTTCATCTGAATTTATGGGCACGCCTGGTTGATATCACACTTCGGAATATTTCCCTGAAAGGCAGTTGTGTTGTCATTTCTGCTGCTTTGGTAGTTGAAAAGCATTTTTCCCCATCATTGTATGGATCTGAGCTCTGTTTGTGCTGGGTCATTCAGCACATTGACCCAGATAACCCTCTGTGTTAGATAGGCTATGTTGGATAGCTATAGAGGGCTATGTTAGATAACCCTCCCTTCTCTCCAAGAACTGTACTCATCCAGAGTGAGCAAAAGGGCTAGCAAAATCACTCTAGACCCCTCACATCCAGCACACTCCCTCTTTGAACTGTTGCCATCTCATCGACGCTACAGAGCACTGAGCACCAGAACGACCAGACACAGGAACAGTTTCTTTCCTCAGGCAATCCATCTCATGAACACTTAACAATAATCGTGGAACACACAACACTAGTATACATTATTTATTTAACAGACATACTTATTTACATTTCAAATTTGCACATATCATACCTGTCTATATTATATATTGTGTTTTTGCTTTTTTGTACATTGTATATTTTGTATATTTTTATATAATTCTTTTTATTATCTGTGTCCTGTCTTGTCACTGTCATTCTGTTGCACTGTGGAGCTTCTGTCACTAAAACAAATTCCTTGTATGTGTAAACATACCTGGCAATAAAGCTCATTCTGATTCTGATTCTGACATTGTTGCCTTGGCTATGCTCATGGGCTTCGGAGCTGTTTTCATAGGTGGTGAAGTCATTAGTGGTCTGGTCCTTATGGTTCATCCAGGTACCTTTGAACTGATGGCCATATGACGCTGCACACTGGGGCTGTCTAGACAAGGGGGCATATGTTTAACTGTGTATAGGATTGCATAGGTTTGTGAGAGGTGCTGATAGGTTTGGGTATGTATGTTCACATTCTGTAACCAGGACCATGGGATTCCATTTTTATAATTCCATAAAATCATTCATCTCTCTCTTTCAGGTTTGGGATGAATCATGATGGTGTTGGCAATGCATGTGGGGTGCGCAGTCAGGAGACCGCTAAACTCATGGCTGCCCACATCACCATGAAGACTAACCCCTTCGTCTGGTCTGCCTGCAGCCGCGATTACATCACCAACTTCCTCGAGTGCGTCTGCTGCCTCAGTCTGAGATCTGTATTTTCACTGAGACATATTGGATTTAGTGTGAAATACTGACCGTATCATTACTCAATTTTAGTATCATACATTTCCAAAGGATTGGATTATAAAAATGATTGATGTGAATGTCTGTTTAAACTACAACATGATCGTCTTGAGTTTGTGTTTACGAGGCATTTGTTACATGAGGTGCTTAATAATGATAGACCAATATACAGGCTAATTAATATTTGGCCATTGTAAACTATGCCTGAAATCTTCTGATAGCTAGTTCACATTTTCTGTTTTCAAATATTTTAGTGAATATTTGTTGTACATTTTAATCCAATTTTATTTCTTTTCATTTTAAATATTGTTTATTTTTATAGACTACAGTAAAGACTTATTGTTGTTTCAAAAAATCTATTTCAAATATGTGCTGTTTTATTTTGATAAACTTTATATTTACCTGTTAATATTTAACTGGTTTCAAACTATTTCTTGAGCACCAAATCAGCATATTAGCATGATTTCTGTAGGATTGTGTCACACTGAAGACTGGAGTAATGGCTGCTGAAAATTCATATTTGCTATCACAGGAATAAATAAAAATTTTAACTATATTAAAATAGTATCAAAATAGTCTGTGGCACTTTTGCGTAAATTTCTTACTATGGTGATTAAAATAGGTTTCTAACCATTAAGGCTTATTCACTCTGCCACAACAAATGTAAACAAGCGTTAACACACTGAAAAAAAACACAATTGTTGAAATTTAGTGTTTGTTGGCATCAGGGCAGCATGAACTAGCCTTTACATGTTCATCACTTCTCACACACCCATTATGTTTTCCTTCTGATTGTTTCTTAGCTCTGGCATGGGTTCCTGCCTGAACAATGTTCCCCCCAAGCAGGAATTTGTTTACCCCACCACAGCCCCTGGCCAAGCCTATGATGCAGACGAACAGTGCCGCTTTCAGTACGGAGTGAAGTCTCGTCAGTGTAAATACGGGGTACTTGCATCACTCAGTGTAATCGACAACAGTTCTTCACCCAAGAAAGAAAATGCCATCATCATCATCTATTAAAAATGCAGATGAGCATGATTTTTGACAATGGTACCATGACAATACCATGTTTTTTCTGATCTACCTTTTAGATGTTTGGGGTCAGTAAGATTAAATTTTCTATTCATCAAAGAATCCTGCAAAATGTATCAGTTTTATTTTAATGACATTTTTCAAAAACATTTAAAAAAATCCAAAACCCCAAACTTTTGAATGGTAGTGTACATCACCATACAAGAACAGCATTGTTTTAGACATTAGAACATAGATATTCGATGTTTACAGTATCAGTAACAAAAAATACCATGGTAATACTATGCATACGCAATGTTTTGTCTTCAAAAGGCATAAGATAACTTTTTGTGTTAGAGTCATGATTTGCTAGAACATTTTCTTTTTTTTTTTGGTGAACTATTCAAAACATGTTTAAAATATTTCTTTTTTTTTAATCTGTAAAATAATCTATTTTTTTGTATATTGACTCTTTTTAAAATATCTCATTTAGAAGTATATAACCATCCTACTGTAAGACATCTATGCTCAAGTAGAGTCTTTGTACAGATGAATTGTGGGTTATGGTCCTATCCAGGTTGCCTTTATATCCTCACAGTAAATCATTTAGCGCACTCTTTATCTCTCTCTCTCGCTCTCTCTCTCTGTAAATCTGCACCAGATAGTCGTTCTACCTTTCGCTGGCTGTATTAATATTCCATCTTTTTGCTCCCCCAAGACTTCAGACACTGGCATTCTGCCACTTTTGTCCAAAACCACAAGTTGGTCAAAAGTTTGGTTCTCTTTGGTTTGCGGCTCTATTCTCTGCCAGCCAAGCTTGACCCTTACACCTCCACAGACCCACAATGGAGCTCAGAGCTCAGTCTGTATAGTGTGCTATATCTGCTCTTGTTGAGTCAAGCTTTAGGTATTGACTGCTTTATGGGATACCAGTGCAGGAAACTGAACATCTGTAGGAGGATAACACACACTAGTTCAGCTATCACTGTAACTATGTAGTCTAATAAAGCAGGAAGTTATTTGGTAGGTCTGAAGTGCAGTGTGTTCTTTACATTTGAGGGGACATCTAATCTACATCAGAAACAAAAAGAGTGCCATGGTATAAGTACAACATGCTAAAAATGCTCAGAACACCTTAGCATCCACATAGCCACATCGGAAGAAGTTGTTTGGTGAAGGAATGTCCCATTTCTGCGCTTTCCACACATTTCTTCAGTCTCACGAGTGTTTCTTAAGGTCTGTTTTTTCCTAGGGTGACCATACGTGCCATTTTTATGGAACACGTCCTGGACAGGATTTCTATATTGCCTAAAATATCCAGGTTTTGGCTGTTAGCGCTGCACAGACCGATCGGTGTATGTATGACATCCGTGAGAGCTATAAAGAGCAGACGCTCCTTAGCTTTCGGATCGCTCTCGCGGTACTTTGATGTCAAACACCGATCGATCTGCGCATTTGCATCGCTTTGATCATTCTCTGTAGATCCCACTTTCTCACGCGCCACGATTGGTCGATTATGTACAATGCCTGCATGTTATTGGTCAAGCTACTTTTCGATCATTACCTTCAGCAAGTATGAAAACAGGAAACAAAGCATAATATAGAAATCCTGGCCAGGACGTGTCCCGTAAAAATGGCACGTATGGCCACCCTAGTGTTTTCTGCCTTATCTGGAGTTTTGTTTAGTGGCTTGTGTGTGTGTGTTCAGGAAGTGTGCAGTGAGCTTTGGTGCATGAGTAAAGGGAATTACTGTATCACCAGTAGTATCCCTGCCGCCGAGGGTACCATCTGTCAGACCAGCACCATCGAAAAAGGGGTAAGCACAAGGAATTCTGGGAACATGATGCCAGGAATAGCAGGACACAGCAATGTCTACTGTTTTATGTTGATTAATGCTATTTTCTCATTAGTGGTGCTACAAAAGAGTGTGTGTGCCATATGGAACACGTCCGGAGGGGGTAGATGGTGGGTGGGGCCACTGGTCGCCATGGGAGGAGTGTAGTCGCACCTGCGGGGGCGGAGTCTCGTCCTCTATTCGCCATTGTGACAGCCCCAGGTGAGTCAGGCTCATGTGATAGATTAACACTGTTTGATTGGACAGATCATTAGTGGCATATAGGCGCGTTTCCATTTGAGATTTGCGCAAAACTTTGGCGATATTTTATGAATGTCGATAAAAAAGTATTGCGAAATGACGGCGTTTCCATTAACCAATGTTATGCGACTAAAACGTAACCTTTTGCCTCTCGCGATAAGTCATGGCAACGGATTTTGGTGGGATTTTGGCTATATTTATTCAAAGGAGGCGTATGCGTGTATGTTTATACGGCTGGATTCTGGAATAAACACAAGCATTGTGGCCGCAATCAGCTCCAGTGGCCGTATCAGAGCCACACTGCACCGCAGACGTGTGCAGTGTAAATCGTCTAAGCATTAATGGTTGGGAAAGCCCCTTATACTGGAGAGCGGCCACGTAAGAAGTGTTTCTTGGAGGTTATAGTACATTTGAAGAATGATCATATGACTTTTTGCATACGCCATGTGACCTGTACATGCGAAAAAGCCATTTCCATTGCAGTTTTGCGAATTATTCCTTTTTCGCATTGCCTGAAAAACCACCTCATGCAAGCGTAAAAACTTTTTTGCGATATATGGGTGTTTTTGCGAAATTGACGCGTTTCCATTAGGCGTATTTTCAATTCGCAATTTCAATTTGCGCAATTTGAAGGGTAATGGAAACGCAGTGACAATGGTCATATGCTTCATTGTGTGAATGACAATGTTCAAAATGGAATACAGCTTGCTATTTACTGAATACTGCACAGTATGCTACCTACTATTTTAAAAAAATAGTAAGTGGAAAAAATAGGCATTATTTGATTTTTCTACATTGTCATATTACCTCATTATGTTGTATGTGTGGGGCATCCAGTTAAAGCATCGTAAAAATTGTTATTTTTAATTCTAATTTTGTGTAAAAATATCTAATATATAACTAATCAAATAATCGGTCAAAAATGAGATGACATTACTTATGGTTCATTTATCACAATGGAAATGGAAGGCCAATCAAGCGTGTTGCATTATGGGATACAGTATTCTGTGCAGTGTAGTTGTACATCCAAGTATTTTATGTATACAGTATAAAATTCTGTTCAGAAGTTTGCGGTCATTTTTTTTTTCAATAAGAAATGAATACTTTTACCCAGCAAGGACACAGCAAACGGTTTAAAGGTGACAGTGAAGACATTTAAAATGTTAACCTAACAAAACATTGATTTCTGTCAGGACCACTATCGTCAAAGATGATTGACAATTAGCATACAGTTTGGATTGGCGGTATGGTTCTGTTCTGGGCAAGAATTCCCTGCGCCTCCATGCAGCCTAGCATGGATGAGAGCAGGGAGAGCAGCAATAACCCCCCCCCAGGGTAAACAGAACAGAACCAACATAAATATATTGCAGATATCGTAAAAATTCAATCATTTTATGTACACATTTTAGAATTAGTCTGATTCTAGGAGAATCAGAAGGCTGAATCCCGACTGGCAGAGGAGGAGTTGGGGATGGAGGAGGGTAATTAGCTATTGAGCAAAGCGAAAACTGCTGATAATACTGAGGGACCTTATATATGAATACTTAGATAAGTGTCGTATTCCCATAGGTTGATGGGGATCAGCTGAGAGTCAGCTGATGCGAGCTTGACTAACGTGACCTGCCAGAACTAACGCTACGCTTGATATTTCAAATAAAGGTTCTTGTTAACTTTCTATTCATCAAAGAACCCAGAAAAAAGCACAACACTGATAATAATAAGAAATGTTTCTTGAGCACTACTTCAGCATATTAGAATGGTTTCTGAAGAATCATGTGACACTGAAGGCTGCTTTTTCCAGCAGAGGAATAAATTACATTTTAAAATATAGTAAATTAGAAAACCGTTGTTTTAAATTGTAATAATGCTTCACAATATTACTGTTTTTCTGTATTTTTGATCAAATAAATGAAGCCTTGGTGAACATAAGATACATCTTTCAAAAACATTTAAAAAATCGTACCCACCCCAAACTTTTGAACATTAGTGTATACTGTACGAGTGATTTGATGATTCATAATGTTCTTACTCTCAGCCTGTTGTACTCAATGAACCTAGTCTGTCAACCTGCCAGGGAAAATCGGAAAAACTAACAGAAAGACAGAAGATGTCTGGCTGAAATGAACCTGAGCAGAATGATTTTGTAATTTACATTTACATTTAGTCATTTAGCAGACGCTTTTAAAATCCTATTTACTCTTGTGTGTGTGTGTGTGTGTGTGTGTGTGTGTGTGTGTAAAATACACACACACACACAAGAAAAACAACTAGATAGAATGTGCTAGAGTTAGAGGGTCATATAAAGATTATAATTAATAACAATAATTATAGTAATTGAGAGTTACATTGAAATTGCACTCAGATGTATCTTATGCCTGTCTTTGTGTGGATGCAGGCCAACAGTTGGAGGAAAATATTGTCTGGGAGAAAGGAAGCGTTTTAGATCCTGCAACATTGATGTGAGTTTGATACCTGCACATCACTTACTGACTCCATTTGTGTGTGTATCTGTCTGACGTTTCTTCAAATAATTACTAGAACTTTGGTTTGTTTGTGGATGGATTCTGCTCCTCTACATTAGTTGACAACTAAAGACTGGTGCATTGGGCAAAATATTAAACCTCTAAATGTGTAGACTTACTCCAATTAGATGAAAAGGATTCACAGTTGCCATGCTCCACTATATTCTCAGACTGACTGAATTGTGTGTGGATTAGGAGTGCCCGGCCGGATCTCAGGATTTTCGGGAGATTCAGTGCTCGGACTTTGACAGTGTTCCCTTCCGGGGGAAATTCTACACCTGGAAGCCATACAGGGGCGGTAAGTACACAGCCCTTTATAGCACCTGTTCTGAGACATACTGGTCGTGTCACTTTGATTTGTGTCACTTCAATTAGCCTGTTTTTACTCTGAACTGCTACAGTTCTGCCTTAAATGCACTATAAGTCTTACCACATTGGTATTGTCCTATAAATGTGACCTATTTTACTGATACGTAAAATAGGTCACTAAATTATATTCAAATGATATTCATGGGACCCTACATTATTTCTAGTTGGCATACCTTTTGTTAAACACAATAGAATTAAATGTTTACACAAAGCCTATATGATTTTTACAATACTTTACAATACAGTCATATTAGTTAATGTTAGTTAATGCATTAATTAAATAATATTAACAGATACAACTTTTGCTTTTAATAAAATTTCATTAACTAAGATTAATACTTGAGAGTAGTAGTAGTGAGTATTTCTCACAGCAAATGTCATGGTGGACACCCAAATCCACTATAATTTTATAAATAATGCTGTTTATGTGTCACAGAATGTAGTTTTAAGAATTGTTTTAGGCGAGAATGTAGTTGTTTAAACTTCAGATATGCAGTTTGTTAATAAAGATAATGTCTATTTGAACATTCACTTCAATATTTTCGGAGATGTGAGCTCCAGGGCGTCAGCAGCCGTTCAGAGCTTATGAAGCCGCCGAGAGCAGCCTCACCTCGGCCAGTTCTTCTGGAATTTTCCACTTGCTCTGATGTCTCTATAGTGGTTAAACATGAAATATCATTTGTTTTGGGTAAATGTAACGGGCAGTCTTTGGTCTCATTTATCTATTATTTGTTCCTGAGCAAATAGTTTTGGCTGAGGGCAAAATCTCATCACGTTATATTTTATATAACTTTAATGCTGTCTATTAGATTGCTGCCTTTGTACTTTTGACTGAATTGCTTATCAACTTTTATGATGGCTCTTGTTGTTGTTTATTAGATATTATTATTCAATAAATAATATTTTATATAAATTATAGTAGTATTTAATAATAGTATTTAGTATTGAGAAATGGTATGTGTTTGTAATGGTGATTTTAGTTACATTATTCCATCATTAGATGGTGACAAGAGACTGTCTTAAAGGAGACTTTTATATTGAAAGAGACTGAAACAGGGTTGTAAACAAGGAAGTTATTTTTACTTTCAACAACACCTTGTAAGACGCAGCCAACAAATGCACATTCAAATATTTGACTGGACGGGCAAAAATGACGGTTAAATCATTTTGAATCATTTGTGCCTACAGTAGGGCTGCACGATAAATCGCATGCGATATTTAATGCGCATCTTGTCAGTAAAGACGGTTCTGTAATCAGCGGTAAATCTCCATCACCTGCAGGCTTTCACATTGAGCAGCATTAACTACACAGAGCCGTTGTTCACTGACGAGTTGCGCAAAACCACGTTCATATTTGCGCGATTTTTTGGTCTCAAAACGAACTGCTGCGAACTGCTACTTGTGCTCATATATATATATATTAAATGATTGTGGGATAAGAAAGATTTTCTGCAGTTGTCTGTTTTAAAATTAAAAGCAGTTTTCCGCTGTACATATTTTTGGTGTAATTTGAAATGTACAGATCTGGACTATTAAGGGGAGACTTTTTTTGTAATTATTCTCACAAACTGTAGATTGATATCTAACGTTGGATTCAAAATATAAATAGTTATGATATCATATTGGTGCATCCCTTGAACTAATAGAAGTGAACTGAACAGAAGCACGTGATCTCTTAGTTACCTACCTACATCTTTCATGATTATGGGGATGTTTAAGTGCTCAGTTGTTGTTGTTTAAGACAACAAGAGTTTAGGGCTTTGGAAGGTGGTAGATATTAGGACTGGACCACCATGCTCCAAAGAACCAATCTCTGCACTGGCTCGGGTCCAGCACAGATGTGAGAGAGAGATAATGAGAGAGAGAGAAACTGCAGATAACAGTCTGGCATCCATATGGCGGGCTGCGGACTGCCAACTTCCCAGAAACCCCGGTTTAAGTTTCTGCTTTTGATGAGTGTGAAGCTGGACGTCAAGGACATAACTGCCTTTAATCTGCCCCTCCAATAACATAATGGCTTGCAGAGAGAAGCCCACTGCAGGCTACAAGCGCTGCTTTCATCAAGTCAGCTGATTTTACAATGGAAATCCCTTGCAGCTGTTAAAATAAGTGCCAGACTGCCGTTTTACCCTACTGTAGGGTCAGGTAGCATATAGACCTGTACTCTCTCTGTTCACACGGTCATCTTCCTTGTGATTTTCTTTTCACTTCTAGCATTGATTTCTTTGTTTTGTCTGTCTGTGTGGGCCTTTCGTGTTGTTTGTATACTGTAAATTGCCTGGTATATTTTAATAACAATATGCAGTAAACATTTCACCTAGTAGTATGCTGTGCTTTTGTCTCATGATCTTGCTCTGTTGCATATTTAATTATTAGTTGACTTGATTTGTCTTTCTCTATCCTGAATAATTTCTTTTTGATATCTTCTGTTTGTTCAGTCATTGTTTTGTTGTTAGTCAGTTAGTTTGTTTTTATTTACTATATTTTTAGTAATATGTGTAACTGTAGCACTATGCAGTGCAAACAATAGTATGCTACATTGTGGTCACATGACTTTGCTTGATGTTTCATTCGGCTAGTTGTCATCTCAGAAATAAATATGAGTATTTAGCATTTAAATTAAATTTTGTGTAAAAATGGTTTGCATGTACACTATTGTTGAAAAGTTTGGGGTTGGTAAGATTTTTTAACTTTTTTGAACGAAGTCTCACCAAGGCTGTGATTTATAGTTACTCTAATTATTATCATAATCACACTATCATAATCATAAGGATCTGTTTGCATGAGCTCCAACTTAATTGCAGTACTGCCTTAATTGCATTTATAAGGGTGCTTGTATATATAGCCTGTGTCTTAACTTTTGGCAGTCTGTTTGAAGTAACGAGTCCAGAAAAGCTTAAAAACATGCTTTAGCACTTTTGCTGAAGTTCAGGTCAAGCGCATTATATTGTGAGATACATTATTCAATTCATCATGTTTTGGCTGTACACTCTCTCTCGCCAGAACCTCTTGAAACGCCTGTCACTCCAGTGAAGCCCTCTTTTAGCCACCTCAAAAATATACCTATGCCCTTCCAGAGCAAAAATCTCATGGGATGTGCAGTTTCCATCGTAAGCCTGCTTCAGTATATGTTTTCACAGGCACCCAGGACCTTATCAAATTAGTCCAACACTAACAGAAAATTGGCCAACAGCTCAAAAACGCCCTCTGTAGGTTTATAAAACACGTTTAGTGGAAGAGTTATTATTTAACGTGAAGACTGGTAGATGTGATCCTACTGATAAGGCAAGCGGGTCTTAGGCAGCCAAAGTGAGATTACGCAGAGTTTTAACACCACCGCTGCCAGGTACAGGCAAGTGGAACGGGTTCAGACCCACCAGCCTGTCAAGCATAATATAAAGGAGGCCTAAAGTAGAGACAAAATCACGTACTGGTACCAGTCTGAGTGGGATTAGGAGTCATTTAATTCCTTGTTCTCTGTCACACGACCAATAAAGAGTATAGTGTGTGAGTTCTGCGCTTTTAAACACTACATTAAAGTACAGTATGTTCCTTTTTTTTTTTCTTTTGCACCCTCTTTACCACCTTCCATGTCTTTTTTCGTCTTGTACTTTTTAAATACCTGTTAGACGTGCAAAACTGTATTTTTCAAATTGACTTGTCCCTGGGTTGCTTTAATGAATAGATAACTTAAACTAATCGAATAATAGAATTATATAATTTCTTAGGGAGCATTTATATAAGATGCGTCCTTGCTTTCAAAAACAACTGGACAGAACATGACGGAATGAAAGAGAATGCAGCATTTGTAGTATTAACTCATATTTTTTGACTTGATGCCATGTCCTAAAAAAAGCAACATTTTAAAGTTTTTTTTTTTTATCATGCAAATTAGGGATGCACCAGAACGAGTCCGAGTACTTTTATTTTGGGTACTTACCTGTAATTTCACTGCATTTGCTATTTTTAAAATTATTGGATTCAGAAACCAAAAGAATATGAATCATGTTAGCTGGCTTCATTTAGCAAATAGATATTTCCTTCAGTTATTTTCACACTTAATCATGCCCGTTAAAATGTATTGTACAAGCTTTTGTTACTTTCATTGTTCATTTTATTGCTGTGTTTATTGCTATTTCATGTTTAATATAATAGCACAGTGCACATTAGACCTGCTCCACTGCAGTGGCTCAGTAAATTTTGTAACAGCGATGAACATTTTTTCCGAAATATAAGTCATGTTTTTTTATCATCTGAAATGTGCTGCAATTATATTCCAAAGTGACTTATATAATGCAATTAACGTCAAGCAAGCAAAACATGCCCAACGCATGCACACATTTGTCTTGGTGCAGAATGAGAGACAGACATTTCACACAGACTGCTAGTTTCACTTTCGCTTTAATTGTATGCTTGACGTTTAAAATAAATGTTGTTTATAGTGAATGGCCTTATAATTTTTCTTTGTTTTATATTTACAATTTAGTTTTAATCCAAATGATGCATGTGCTAATGGAGTGAACCGCAATCAAGATCATGCAACAGAAGTCAAGTAACTTTAGTAACTTGTGTATTGTTTTACTTACTTTTCTTTTGGAATATCTCTTTAACATCTCAAATATTTCTCCTAGACAGAAATTAGGTTTCTTTAAGATCGAATTGAGATTTTTGTTTGAGTCTCCTGCTTCTCAAACTTGTCTCCGGAGACAAAAACTCTTAACACTCTCACAATGGTCTCCTTTAAAGCTTTACAAGAGAT